TAAAACGATGGTAAAAGTTAAAAATAATGCGAAAAGACAGAAATTTTGGCTTCTTTTGACAAAATCTCGTTCAAAAATGAAATAAATCGAGCAAAGTAATCAATAATAATAATAATAATAATAATTTTATTCAAAAATATCATAAAATTTTGACTGATTTTCCAATTGTTTTGACACAAAATGTAAAAAGAAAAAAAAATGCAAAAAATATTTAAAAAAATGTAAAAACCTAGAAAAAAAAATTAAAAAAAAAAATGTAAAAAATATTACCGGCGAACATTCGCCATGTCTCCTCTCTCGATGGCCAACAAGTACTTTTTTTCCTCAATTGAGAGGAATTTGGGGAGGGTGGGCATGACTAGGGACTTTCGGGTTATTTTAGCCTCAACGTCCACCTAAGAAAATCCATAATTAGTGAAAAATTTCAATCAAAAACTCACCGAATCCTCCATTTTTCAAATTTTTAATCACATCCTCACTGGGAAAAAAACACGAGTAAGTTAGTAATAATCTTGTAAGCGCTTATAACTATGTTCTAATCACATTATTGTCTTTATTAAATTAGATTACTGTGTGTTTTGCACCAAATAACTTTTTTTAGTTAAAATTCCTATTTTGTTGAAAACGATAATTCACAAACAAAATGAATTTTTCGTCAATTTCTTGGAGAGATTTATTTATTTTTGCTAAATCTCTTATGTAATCTCTCTCCTAGGGGTAATCCTCTTCCCTTTTTTTAATTAAATTAATAGCTGAGGGTCAATAGAAACTTGAAAGTATTCTCGATACAATATCGAAAAGTGGGCCAGTGATTGTGTCAGACTTTGCAGGTAATTTTGTGTTTTTTTCGAGAAATATGGGCTTTACGAAAAAAAATTAAAAACTGGCAAAATCTCTATTTGATTATCTGTCGATCAGTGAAAATTAGAATTCGATCGGAGTTATAGTTTTAGCTAGAGATGAGTTTGAAATTGTCAAACTTTTCATTTATTTTGACCGCTAATTTAAAATTTTACAATTTATAATTTGATGAGTTTTCGGATTGTTGCGCAAAAAATAACTTTTTATACACAAGAATGTAGCTTAGAAAAGCACTGTTTTTGACCAAATTGCGTTAAAAAATGTTTTTAGTTCAAAAACGTGTTTAAAATATTTCAAAAAACTGAGTTTTTACCACAAAACTTACTTAGAAACGTAAAAAATTTAAAAATTGCATTATTTTGGCCAAATTTTGTAGTTTTCAGGCTTATTTGTTTAGGCAAAATTTTATCCAAAAACAAACTAAATCCAGGAAATTACTTAAAAAAATATCAATCTTTATATAATTTGGGGAATTGAACTAAATTTTAAGTTTAAAAACTAGTTTAAACACTTTAAAAAAGCAAAAATATTATTATTTTAAATGAAGTGGTTGTTTTGATTTATTTTAAGGAAATTTTGCTCAAAAACGAAGTAAAAATCGAGCAAAGTCTAAAATAAATAATAATAAAATAGTCTAAAATAACATCAATTTTGTTCAATTTAATTTTCTTCCAATATCTTACAAAAACTTGCTTAAGCAGTTAAAAAAGACAGAAATAATAATATCACTATTTTAGATCAGATTGATAATTTCTCGTTTTTTTAAGCAAAACAGTACATTTTTGTACAAAAATTGTATTTAAACATTAATTTAAAAAAAGTATAAATAATATCTATCGTTTGGCCGAATTTCATAATTTCTCTGAAATTTTAGCTTTTTTGACAAAATCTCGCTTAAAAATAAGATAAATCGAGCAAAGTATTGAAAAATATCATGAAATTTTAACTAATTTGCTAATTTTTCAAATTGTTTTGACAATATCTGGCAACATTTTTAATCAAATTTAGTTAGAAATTTAGTTTTTAGTTCAAAACTGTGTTAAAAAAAGCGAAAAAAAATTATTTAAAATTAATTTGATAAACTTTTTGATTTGTTTTTTACTCAAAAACAAGCTAAATCTAGGAAATTTGCTTTAAACGTTTCAAAAACAAGCAAAATTAATACAAATTTTGATCAAATTCGACAATTTTTTGACTTGTTAGAGCAAAATTTTGCAAAAAATAAATACATTAATTTTTGTCTCAATTGTAATTTTTTTGTAGCAAAATTTTGCGAAATAAGTAAACTGTTATTTTAAAAACTAACTAAATCAAGCAAAATAGTCCAAAATAATGTCATTTTTGATCTATTTTGTCTTGTTTTTCAAATAAATTGAGCTATTTGCTGTGTTTAATCGCTGGAAGAAGCAAAAATAATATTATTTTGAATTAGTTAGGGGACTTTTGACTTTTTTGACAAAATTTTATACACAAACATAATAAATTGAGCAAAATAGTTTAATTTTATATTTTTCTTTGATTCATTTTAGCAAAATATTTCAAAAAACTGAGTTTTTAACCCAAAAACTCACTTAGAAACATAAAACATTCAAAAGTTACATTGTTTTGGTCAAATTTTGTAATTTTTTTAATAAAAATCGAGCAAAGAGTCTAAAATAACATCAATTTTGTTCAATTTAGTTATTTTTACAAAATCTAGCTCAAGCAGTTAAATAAAAGACAGAAATAATAATAATATCGCAATTTGCGATAAGATTTAATAATTTCTTGTGTTTTAAACTCAAAAATCGTGTTTTACAAAAAAAACTGATCAATTTGTTTAAAAAGTGCTCAATTCTTTATTTTTTTTTTAACTAAAAAACTTTTAAAGGCGTTTTTAAGTTTTTTGATGAAATTCCTAGTGCAAGAATGTTTGAATCGGAGGAAAAATCTAACAACAATTTCACCGAAAAGCCTTTAAATCAAGTGGAAAAATCGTTTCTCCTCTACGCCGAAAGGGGTGATTGTGCATCAGTTCGCAGGTAATTCCCCCAACTTGTCAAAAACTAAATAACTGTAAACTGTAGGATAATTGAAGAATACAGTGAGTGCAAGGAAGAATTTGATATAAACTGCATTGATGCAATAAATCGTTCAGCTTTCGTGATTGCAATCGAGAATGGAAACATCGAATTGGTGAAACTTCTCCTCGACTCGCATATTGACGTTAAAGTAATCATCGCAAGTAATAATATTTATTTTTAGTTTCAGTTTTTTTCATTTCAGGATGGATTGCTTCATGCAATCAATGAGGAATTTGTGGAAGCGGTCGAAATGCTTCTAGATTGGGAGGAGAAAACGCATCAAGTTGGCGATTTGTACAGTTGGGAAAAAGTGGAACGGTCTTCGGCCACTTTCACACCTGACATCACACCTTTGGTGCTTGCTGGACATAAAAACAATTACGAGATTGTCAAGTTGTTGCTTGATCGAGGAGCCACTCTTCCACTGCCCCACGATGTCAAGTAATTAAGAAAAAAAAACTCGGTTTTTACCCCAAAAACTAAATTTTGACGTTGAATTGTACTTTTTTTTAACAATCTCAACTGAGCGAAACAAAATTATTTTACCAAAAAACAAAAATGTGCAAAAAAAACTGAAATAAGTTATAATAATTTGAGGATTTTTGGCGAAACTTGGGAATAAAGTATAATTTTGACTTGAAAAGAGCATTATTTTTTGTAATTCTTTGGTTTGTTTTGACATAATTTCGGAAAATATTGGTGAATTTCGTTCCTGACTAAAAACACTGAAAAAGTCAAGAATTATATGTAATTTTCGACTTAAATTATTTACTTTTGAGTTTGTTTTGATAAATTTTTTCCCAAAAACGAGCGAAATTGAGCAAAACTAGTATTAAATAACGTCATT